CAGCATGCCTCGTGCTTTGCTCTGGTTTCTGGTCACGGTGCTAATTAACCCAGATGTGGATATTAATATTGTGGTGGAGACGAAAGTGGGGCTGGGGTGGAAATGGGGCAGATGGAGAGGAGAGGGGGCAGATTTAAGGGTGGCGTCAGAGTGAAATGGGTCACTCCCACCCGTGTGTGACAGGAGACTAAAAGCTGTTACTATTTTTAAACACCCATTGGCCCTTTTTAATTGCTCATTACCCACTAAGATACAGTGAGAAACCCAGACTGCTCAAAACAAACAAACAAGATGCTGCTGCTGTACATTTTGGACGAACTGATAAAGTTTGTTTATCAATTTATCAACTTGTGAACACTGTAGCAGTTGGACTCTAGTTTTGAGGTACCCTCAGTCTGCTAATAAATAAGGTTCATCATTGTCAACCTAATAAATAAGGTTCACATGGGATTCTCAAATATTATATCAATCATGTTTGATCATTTGGAAAAATAAGTAAACAGAAAACAACAAACAACTTACAGTTTACACAGATGCCTATTTATGTTCACTTTCTTCTATTATAGCATTATAATATATAGTATATAATTTTATATTTTAAGTTTTCATTTTAAATTTAAGTAGTTTTTCTTTGTTTTTAAATATTTCTATTTACCGGTTTTTAATATTTCTATTTACCGTTTTAAAATATTTTTTCTAATATGTATATTTTATTTAATCTCAGATTTATTTCAATTTCCAAAAATGATTTTTAGTAGTTTCAGTTTTAATTAACAATAACTACTAACTAACAATGAACAGCTATTTTTTACAGCATTTATTAATCTAGGTTAATGTTCATAAACATACTCATGTTTGTTCGTAATAATCTTAAATAAAATGTTAATTTATAAATCTTTAAAATGTTAAAATATATAATTAAGATGAACCTAGATTAATAAATGCTGTAAAAATATTTTTAATTTTTAGTTAATACACTGTGTCTTAAACTAAGGTAAACTTACTGAACCTTATTATAAAGTGTCAAAGCATTTGTCATAAATGATTTATTGCTAAATAATTGCATAAATGATTTATTGCTACACCCAAACATGCTGTAAAAAACATATATATATATTTTTTTTCATGCCTTTTTCTCATGCATATTGATTACGCTTCATAACACTTTCACAAAAAGTAATAATATTAAATCGCTATTTCTGCAGGAGGTTTATAATACAATAACAAAACATTTCTACTGCCAACTCATTAGGACACATAAAAAACTTTATTTAATGGAGAACTGACATATCTAATGGTAAAAATCCTGTGCAGTTTGAAGCCCCACAGTGACAGACTTTTCTCAGTGGTATTTTATCAACATCAGCCCCTGTGAGTGTCCCGGTTGGTGCTTTATCCCATTTCCGTGTGTCTGTGTTGGTGTTTTGCCCACCTGCATAGTCAAAAGTCAGTTCGTCGTACCTTTCTATATCACGATTTGCGAACAGAGCGAGTCTGGGCAGCAGTGAGTGCACTCGGATGGGCACCATGACCAGGTTAGGCTTGCAGGAGTGGTTGATGAACCTTCCCACATTGCCTATGGTCACGGGGTCCACGAACGTCTGGGTGACACTCTCCCCTCCGCTGTGCTCCTGCAAAGCAATGATGTAGTTCATATCTAGGGGAGTCTGTGAGAGCTGGCGGCGGCGGGCCTCATGAGACCCGATTATTTCCCCGGCGTACTCGCATACGAAACGGCCACAAGGGAGGCGCTCGAGAGCCTCCACCCCCAAACCCCTGTCCTTGGTGCTGAAAACACCCAGACGAACCTCGACCCCCTTTTGAACGACACGGTTCTGGCAGGACTCGCTGCAGGCGCATAAGGCATTGCACTCGAATACAGGCCTGCTGAAGCCGCCGTCCTCTTGCTGTTGGTTCAGGCGTCCCTTGTTGTCATACGTCTGGCCAAACCTCAAGCAGGGGCAGCTGTCGGGCAGGCAGGACTGGACACGACATGAGCAGCCAGGGAGGGTCACCGCACTAGGATCAATGTCACAGCCTGGTCCTTGTACACTTTCTAGCACATACTAAAGGATTTGAGTCAGATTAAGACATACTGTAAACTGGAAATCAGTGGGAAAGTATATGAAAGTGCTGCCATCTAGTGGTGGTGAGGGTATTTACGCCATGTAAATATCAATATCGTCAATAAAATAAACTTAAGTGCTGTTTGAAAACACTATTAGACTGCAAAATGATGAAAATGCCAACATATCTATAAAGACTTTAATGTAAGGCGCGTGAAATAGTATGTAATTACCTGAAAGTTGGAAAAAGCCTCTTTGGGAACACTGTTCGCAATCAAAACAGGAACATTCTCGAGTCCGCCACTCAGATCCTGGCTGTATGATCGTATCATCATGTCTTCTTTGTACATTTCTGTCTGATTCATATGTGAAAGAGAACATTATTAACGTGTGGCTTGTTTAGAATATCGATGCATCCATGTAATAAACGCAAACGGAAGCGGAAAGTACAAACACTCGACGTTGAAGCAAAATAAAAGTCCGGCGTTCTGTTGACCTTTTAGAGACTGAAGAACGCATATTATCTTCCTTGAAGACGTTTATAGGTTATGTAAATCATGACGTTGTTTGACATGCAGATGTTTTATGAAAAACTGTGGTGTTTTCATGTGAAAAAGTTTATGTATAAGCACAAACGCAAGCTAGAATGCTAAGTCTGACAGATAGATTTATGTTATAATAAAGTGAGATGCTACTAAATATGGTTGTAACCCATACTTTAATAAGTTTTATTCTGCTTTCAGCAACTATTGGTATATGTAGGATTAAAACAGATTTTATTTTTTATATTTGTTATAGGTTACTTTATACCGAGATGTTCGCAAAATTACGACTTCTTGTAAGAAAATGTTTATATGAATTCATTTATGTATGAAAACGAGTTTCAGTTTTGTAAAATCTTTCAAAGTCAAGGCGATAAAAAACGTAACCAACTAAAACAACTTGAGATAGGCCCATTATGCCATTTCCATTGGCTAAACGTAAATCATTAGTCCATTAGTCAATTTCCTATAATTCCATGTTCTCTGTATACAGGTGCATCTCAATCAATTAGAATGTCGTGGAAAAGTTCATTTATTTTAGTAATTCAACTCAAATTGTGAAACTCGTGTATTAAATCAATTCAATGCACACAGACTGAAGTAGTTTAAGTCTTTGGTTCTTTTAATTGTGAAGATTTTGGCTCACATTTAACAAAAACCCACCAATTCACTATCTCAACAAATTAGAATATGGTGACATGCCAATCAGCTAATCAACTCAAAAC